CCTCCTAATTGCAAACTGAACATACTGCATCTAAAGGTGACTAAAAAATAATTTTCTCTAAAGGCTTCATCTCTACACTATTGACCTTGGTGGCATCTAGACCAGGCTTAAAATTATTTATAGACTTCCACTTTTCCAAGTGGAAACATTGAATTTTAAAAATAGATACTTAATAGTTCATTAGCTGATATCGCTGACAAGGCTTTTTAGTTTAAACCACCTCTCTGATACAATTTCTGAACAACAATCCATCTTTGAACAACAACCCATTAAATCCTTTTGTAAATTATTGGCATTCTGATGCATTTTGAGTAAAACTGATGCAACTCATTTTAAAGTCTCTCCATTAGGCAGTATAGTCCAATAGTCATTTGATTTCTTCACTACTGTTTCTCTTCTGAGAACAGGAACTATTCCCAGCATTAGTAAGAGCCCCCCAAAGAATCTAACACTTGACACTAAAGTTTTTGTAACATGAAGTACATCTGCATATGTAGCATATTTTCAAACTGATTTGAACATAAGAGAATAGCTGGGTGTACCAACAAAACAACCCCCAAACTATGCACTCCAAAAAATCCAGTAGCTAAACCAACATTAACTTTTCAGCATTCACCCTTTAGATATTAAGATGAATGAAAAAATGGAACAGTACAGAATGATTTTCTCATACTGTCTGTATACCCTGACAATTCCTCAGTTCGTCAAGCTACAATTTTCATTGTTTAGAAACATCAGAATTAGAAATTTTTGAAGGACCTAAAAGGAAAAAAAGCCATTGTCAACTACATATTACATATAACATGACATTTTCATGGTATTTAGTAAATGGATGTTTTACCAAAATTTATTTTCACAGAATCACGTTAAGTATTAGTTTTAGAAAATAACCTGAACTGGACTGGCAGTAATGCCTCTGAGACCACACATTCAGAGAGTCAAAAGAATAACTTACGTGGATATTTGTAGTTTAAAATCGTGTCCATTTGAACCACTTGTCTCTCTTGTCACAGGATACAAATAAACAGAGAGAGATAAAGTAAAAAGGTTGACACCAAAATTGCTACATGTGTTGTATCTGGTAGTTTGCTAATTTTTGAGAAAACAAGTTTGCCTAGACATGTTCAGATCACTGTTTTAAAGGTAAAAGCCTAAGACATAAAAGTTATCAGTAACCAGGCATTCTAAAAACACGCTAAATCAAAAAGGAATGCTGACAGGCAAGATCCCAGGCCCCATAAATATTAGCAATCATACCACATAGAAGTCACTTCAGTCAGTATGTAACTATTCCTGAAAGAGCTGCCCTATCCAAAGGCACACAGTAACAAAGCATAGCTATTGCGAAAAAAAAAAAAGCAAATGCCTAACAATGTTTTAATCATTTTAATTCCTTTCATTACAGTGAAAGAACAAGAAGTTTGAAATTCTAGAAATGTTTATTTTACAGTGAGTATTGAAAGTGTTTAGCTGTTTCCAATTACAAGCTGACCAGCAACTCACAGTAAAGTCCCTACCATTTATACACTTACGGTGCCAGACAAACTTTTCTATAAAATTAATTATGAGAAAAATTTTATTAGCTCCCTAACACCTCTCTCTGGTGGGCAGAAAGAATTAAACATACACAGCAAGGTAATCTTGATATTAGGTGGAGCTTTTTCTGTTGACCTTATGAAAATCTGCATAAATTATGAACTATTGTAAGCTTGCACTCTCCATGGCTTTGTTGCCTACCATAACCTTTAGAGAACCTAGCAGCATCATGTCTCCAACTCGGCATCCATGCATGCCATGTCACATAAGAGACAAATCTCTCTACAATGGCTGCTCTCCCATGAGAATACATTCCCGCCTAGACAGACACATCTCAAAGGCGAGAAACAATGTTCCTGTCCTGTACTATCTGAAGCAGGGTCACAAGTTGAAAAGAAAAGTATTTGGCTTTTTTTACTTCAAATTATTCTTGTCAGTTTTACTGCCTTTGAGAAATAATTTATTAATCAACCCTAACTCACATAAGGTATCTTAAAACAACATTACCAAGTGGCAAAGACAAATTTCTGAACTGCAAAGGTCATTAGAAAAAAATCCACATGTTTTGTTGTTCTAAATATATTTTTGCAATACTGTCTCTGTAAAATGGAATTATCTGAATATCTCCACAAGACCAGACTATTATGTAGCTTCCTCTAGTGGTCAGTCCCTAAATCTTGTTGCTTCTGCTATTTACTCTAGTTACTTGTTACACACAAATTCCGTGTTCAAATGTTGTAAATTTGAGAAGGCATTAACATTTATATTGCAATGTACTTCTAATACAAAAGCCAAGGAAACGAAGCCAAAACTTAGAGCAAAACATTTGTTAGTGACACGAAAACAGTGAACTAACTAAACAGTGAAGTCAGCAAAAATCAGAGTTATTAGTTTTCCCATTTGCCCCCTTGTGAATATGCATTATAATATATTTTGTTACATGGTCAAGTTTGACTTTCCCACCATGAGACTCAGGAAGCAAAGACAGATGTTCAGTTTTTAGCTGAGTCTTCAGATATTTGCTACGAATCATTCAAACTTTTGTTTTGACCCTGAAAATTATGTATGTGTGTACGTGCACATTTTAATGAGCCTTGCTGCTGTGCAATTGGCTTCTTTCTGCAAAACTCTGCTGAGGGAGGGGGCAACTTAAAAAGACACAGCAAAGCATTCACCAAATTTGAAGACCACTGAAAACAGATGAGAATTTGATACAGCCCTAAAATACTGCAAGAAGAACCAAGGCAGCTCTCTGTCATACAGGATGAGAAATTAACAGGATGAAATTTTACACTGGGCATCAGGAAGATTTCCATACAGGCTGAAGTCATTAAGGAGGAAGAGGGAAAACCCAAAGGTAGAAAGTGACAACTGGCCGTTACAAAATATATTTTACTGAACAATTCAACTGGAAAAAAAGAGTGCGATTACATAACATAACAGCCATGTCTGACTCTAAAATAAGGTAGTTAGAAATCTGCTCAGGTGATTTAACTGAAAATAATCCCAAGGGTTATGTTATCTAAATTGTACAGAAGTAGAAAATCCTATCACCCATGTGCAGTTTGAAAATCTGTGAATGAGTAACTTCTATAATATGGCTTTTTTCTGTGAAACAGCAGCAATAACTCTGACGTCTGCAATAACTCTGATGTCTAGCTGAATGCATTCCATTGCCTGAGATTCTTTATTGCCTTCTTACTTCTGCCTTTGCACTTTTCTGCACTCTGGAACTGAAAGAAATGCCCCTAATTTTTTTTTTTTTTTTTTTCCTATTCAGTCTCTTCCATAAAGCCTGTCAACTTCCATTCAGCTTTGACAAGGATATTAACTCCCCAAAACTGACACCATCAATTATTCACTCATACATTTCCAGCAACAACGCACACTGCTACTGTAGCAATGCCTGACAAAACATATAATGAAGCAGAAACTTTTAAAATTAAGTTCAAGGACAAATTAATTTTGAGACACTACTGGGAAGCCTACAGGTAGCTCAATGGTTGGTGCTAACCTCACAAATCCTTCAAATGCTCATCCCTCCATCACAGAAATTCACATGGAGCTCCCACACATTTGGACAGAAAAACCCAAATCCACAACATACAGACAAAAGACAAGGGCATGACTGAAGCAACTAAGTATTACATTTCCCTTTTTTTCTTTCTTTCCAGGATACTAGTTTGCATGTTACCAGCTTGCCCTAGCATTGCAGCTGTGATTTGCTCCTTTGTGCCGTGTTTATGAAGGTGCTCACCGTGACTGTTTCAGAAGAGAGGCTCTCAAACCATTCTGTGAGATGCTGACTGTAAGGGTACCTCAGCAGTTAAAATACCTGATGTTACACATCCCTCTGCTGTTGGTATCTGCCTAACCTCATTCATTTTTACAGCTGGAATCAGCTGGAATGTGTCTTCTCCTCAGGAGAGCAGGCAGCAAGGGATTTACAGCACAGTAACTAACCTCAGGTCTCAAGTTTGCTTATTCCCTGGCATACCATTACATCCTTAGGGAAAGATAACACAGCTGACAAAAAATGTCACAGCTCCTCAAAATAAACAATATCTGTCCATATTTGGAGAGTGCTGCCAACTCTGTTTATGTTCCTGGCTTTCTCTCAGAACAGCTCTAAAGCTGTGGACTTTGTTAGTAAAATAAGGAAGAAGAAAGATTTAGCCACATCTCTTTTCAGAAAAAGTTTTGTGCCTGTTTCTTGTCACTTTGTAAGAGAATTTTGGCATTATAGCAACCTGAATATGCAGTGGTGCTTGGGTAGCAATGTAAGAGCCTAATAAATAAAACATGAAAGCTACAGTAGAGAAAATTGAATAAAATTTCATGAATGCTTTTAATTTTTCATGCTAAGGATCAAAATATTAAGCACATTTCAGTGCCAAATTCTGTATTAAAGTCACTCATCATTCTCTATATTCCATTAGAGTTAGAAACTCCAACCAAAACCCAGCATGTCCGAGACAGCAGAGTCAGTCAAGAGTGTGATAACCTACTTCTGTGTAAGTGACAATTAAGTGTCTCTAATGAAATGCTTATGTTTTAAATAGGCAAGACAAAGTAGAAAGATACCCCTCTTAACAGCATGGAACTGAAGGCAAACAGGAGCTAGAGACTCCTCTTCCTACACACATTCTAGGGTACAGCACAAGTTAGAGAATTAACATGGTCCTGGAAAGGATGATCCTGATATTAATTCTAAAGCATCAGAGTATTTTAATTATAGGATTGTTTCTCAGCTGCTCAGGTGGTGGCAGAGTAAGTATCAATAAACCTCCTCATATATAATAGAACAGTACATGAAAAGAAATGGTCAGTGTACCTGTTTTTTATTGCTCAGCTTTAAAAAGAAAAGCAGCTATTCTTTGACTAACCTCTGAATAACAGATTTTAAACTAAAGAAGTGCAGACCTTTTCAGGCAAAAGATCACTTTAACCAATACACAACTTACGCATCTCTTCAACCACGTCTGGATCACATTCCCTGTATTTGTCTATTTCTGTCTTTAGCTGCTCTTTTTTCTGCCGAAGGGCAGCAAGTTCCTTCAGCAGAGCTGCACGATCCGCCTGAGGATTCAAAGGATGTTAGGAGAGACAAAAAAACCCCCAAATATTAAATTTATATTAATTTAAATTTATATTAAAATAAATAAAACAGTAATTATCACACAAAGTTTTTTTTAAAAATAAAACCATACAAATTTAAAAGCTGCTTTCACTACTGCCTTCTGTCTATGAACTACTTGAGCATATTTTATTACATAAAATTCTCAGAGGCACTAAATGATACTGAATACCAACTGGAAGGAAAAAAAGTTAAAGCCAAAATGTATCAACAAAAGAAATTTTCTATAACCTTTGAACCATGGTTTAACAAACTCCAAAGAGATCTCTTAATTACTGGGCTTAAAGGTTAAGCAGTATTTAGGAGTGCTAGTCTTGTAATTAAAGATGGCATTACAGAAAAACCTACCATCCACCCTTCCACAAATTGAGATGCTGTGTATGAACACCCTCCGAATTTGTCTTTTTTCTTTTCCACACCATTTAAGAGCAATGGTCTCAAAAATAAATTCAGACCTTTATGACATGGTAGTCTTTGCTAGGATTGTACACAATATTGACCTCAAAGATTCTATTGATCAATAAGAATCTGCAGACACTGACTCAACGTGAGCTCTCCCACAGCCAGCTCAGCACATACTTCTAATTCAGTCTGTAGTTACAGACAAACACTGGAACTGGCTGATATTCAAATAACTCAAGCTAGGGTAGCCTAGAAGAGCCAGACTGCATGAGTTGGTAAGCCATTGAGATTTTACCAAAGGCAGTCTCCATGGTCTGAGGTGTTTGTGGATTTGGGGTTTTGTTTACAGTTGTTGGGTTCACCCCCACCCAAAACTTCCATATTCCCAGTGCTTTTGCCAGCAGTTTGGATTCAGCGTGTTCTGAAAACGCAGAATGGAAATCAAAAGTTTCCAGATGCTGAGGTATGGAGGTGAGATGCTTGGAGACCTACACTGCAATCTAGATTTTTTAGGACTTCTTCCTGATGTATAATCAGGAACAAAAAATGTTGGAAACATCGTCCAGAACAGGATTTCCAGACCAACAGCTTTCTGTAGGGCAGGCTACATGCTAGAGAAACCCAAGGCTGAAACAGTTTGTTTGGAAACATGACAAGCACTACTATGTGAGAAACCTGCTTGTGACTCCTGATTACAGTCCATTGAGAATGAATTAATAAAGAATCCCCATTAAAGACACTGCCAAAAACTGGTTTTAATTGAATTTGTGGAACTGCAACTTTAACAGAGTTTGATGGTAAGGTTCATTCTATTCCTTAATGGGTAAATGAAACATACATTGGGAAAACCTAGAGTGTTTCTACAAAACAGTTTGGATTTGAAGATTTGGCACTTTCCTACAAAATTCAATTTCTCCTGAAAGCTTCTGGCTATGCATGGTTATTGGAGGTTTCAATCACTTAGACTGAGCACTCAAGTCAATGCAAGTCAGCAACTTAGAATACCATACAACACATTTCTAACTAGTATGTTGGTTATGACAAACAGGAAGCCTAGAGATATTTTTTGCAGTGTTAACAGCTTCAGCATGCAAAGAGCACCGGGCTTACATGACTTCTCAGAACAGTAATTTAGGAATCTATATTACAAATAAATTGAAAAAAACACAAACCAACATCTAAATTTGTAGTTACCAGATTTGGCAGTTCAGCAACCATTGGCAACTCTGGTACACACCTCTGGGTAGTTCAAGTTTTAAGATACTTTTAAATCTGAAAATACCTGGAAGTACTACATTAGTATTTACAAAAAGTACATACTTGTTGCACCATTTCCTTGTAGGATTACATCCCCCCAAAGCAACTTACAGTATCTTCACGTCCAATTTTTGATTTCTCAATGCTTTTTTCTAAAGCCTCTTTTTTCTGACTGCTTTCAGCAAACTGGTAAAGAAAACAAAGAACAAAATCAAATTTTTTCAGTAATATTAAACACAGCTATAAAATGTGTATACATATTATGTATTTAAATAAACAAGTCTTTTTAAAATACATATGTTAAAAAAATTAAATTTTAAAATACATATGTAACTTATGTAATAAAAATAAAGACCAAATAAATACAAAAGTGCCCAAAGATAAATCTGAGGCTCTGAACCACAGAGAATTACAGGAAACAACTCCAAGTCTAAGAAATTTTTATTCCCGTTGCACATAATCTTGTTATATACTGCAAGTTCAGCATGGGACTAAAATCCTATTTCATACCATAATCTGGCATCTCTACGCAAAGGACCCTGTAACATGGAGGCTGTGGATCTGATTTCCTTTGGTCCTTTTCCAGCTGTCCCTATTCAATGGAAGCAGTGACAAAGCTGCAGCAGGTCCACCTGCTCAGCTGCAGATACTGGTGTTCCCAAAGTCTAGTATGCCACTGGCATGGCCCCAATCCCTTTTACATGCTGATGAACAGAAGCCTCTGTTCAAAGGCATGCAAAGCTGTGGCCCCTTTTTACTGTGTGGCCCTTGCACTGCTGGACCCCACAGAGATCCCTTCCCTCAGGCCTGAGGCAGAGGAGTCTCACAGGGCTGGCATGAACAATCCCTCCATTTTTCTGTTACATCAGGAGAAATTATTTGCCAAGAGAGATCTCTCTCTATTAACCTGCCACCCATCTTGAACCAGGCCTTTCCAGTTCAGTTGGCAGCTTTCCAGAGATACTTTGGAAACTCTTAAGCTGAGCAGGAGTATGACTCGACCCTCAGGGACACCATACTCAGCATCAGACAAAGCACCTCAAAATATTAAATGAGATGAACAAGAATGAAAAAAAAAATATAATAAAATACAGTTACTGCATTGAAACCAACACAAAAGGAAAAAAAAAAGAAACAATAGTATGCTTTTTGAATACCCTCTGCTCTACCCCAAGATCCCCCACATGAGTCCTCCACTTCTACATTCCCTTTCTCACTGAGGATCCCACTGAGTGCAAAAGCATTCCCAGATATTTCTTCCAATCCCCAGCCTTGATAATTTAACCATATGGTCAAAATCATGCAGCTGATATTAATACATTCATGCAACACAAACTGAACTTCTTTGGAGGTATAATCATTTCTCAATTTCAATTTAAACCAGCGTTTGGTCCATATTTTCAGAATATTAAATGTAAATGTATGATAAATAACAGGCAGAGCTTACTGCCAAGTCTTGGAGATCAGTCATAACAGTAAAAAGAAACTCCATACTGGTGGTCCATGAAGATTAGGATACAGCCCAACTGCAACTCACTCGGTTTAGTGGTTCCTTTCACACCTCAATTTTTAAAAATAATTACTCTGTTCATGCACGTGTGAGCATGCATGCAGACAAGAAAGTCTCCTTTCTAAAAGAATGTTTTAGTTTTCTTCAATATATATAGGAATTATACTAATGACAAGACATAATTTGAGGAAAAATATGTCCAGCTGTTTACTTGCTGCCCTCAGTGCAAGAAACCACAGAGGCAGCATAGGTTTCACTATGTGGCTTGAAGTACGCCAACATCTTAATTTTGGTGGATAGTCAAAGAGTACTCCTTCCAGGCTTTCCACAAAATTCTTAAAAGAGTAGGTGTGTTAGTCCCCACACAATGCCATCCTAAACAGAAGTATACAGTTCAGAAGACGGTAAGTACTTAGATGCAGTTTGCAGTTCACAAAGTCCAAGGAAGACAAACCCCAGAGCATGTTATTTGGCATCTCTGAACACAGGATTTTTCTAGAATAAAACCCACAGAGAAGGAAGAGAAGCCAAGGAGCTTATCCAGACCCTTCTACTGCAAGTACAAAGAAGCCAATGGTCTCTGAAAGAGAAGTCATAAAGGTGTCACTTTCTCTGTTGTTTTTCCATACTCATTAAGTTCTTAAGGCATGTTTCCACTTTCTCTAAAATGGATGTACAGAAGGAGCTCTCAAGGCAGTGCAAACCACCATTGGGTGTTTCCAGCATGGAAGCACCCAATAAGGCAACTTATAATTTTCTTGATCCTCCATTCCACATCATTTACTAATGCAAGCTACAGTAAAGACAAACTATGGGAGACAAAGGAATTTCTTAGATTCTGTCCTACACAACATGCAAGGTTGCCATGCCATGAGGTTAGAAGACCTTCCTTTGCCTAAAAGCAAAGATGATTTTTACATAATCTTATTTAAGATATTGCTTTCTAAACTCACAGATTTTAATTGCTTGGGTATTTTCAGATTTTTTAACCATTCTTTAATTATTATTTCACGTAACAAAAAAATTTATGAAATAAATTGACACCTCAGCTCTTTGTGCATTATTTCAAAGTCATAGTGGTTATCCTCTAGAACAACAAATAAAAGCTGAGGATACAGAAAGGAAGCAGAATAGTATAGCAGAAGGAGGCAAGATATAGAAAAAACCTTAACACAGGACAAGGATTCAAAGGGTGAGGAACAGATGGTCAGGGTTTGTTCAAAGAATCTATGACTATGAGAGAAGCAGAAAGGCTTGGGTAGAGGTGGGAACACAGCTGAAAATAACTATAACGAAAGAAGGAAAGACAGCAAGGATAAAAGAGTCACAGGAAGGATGGATACACATGATACAATACTTAATTGAAAGGCAAGTACAAATGGCAAATGATAGTTTATAGGACATTAAAAAGAAAAAAAGTGGAATATGCAAACATTGTGTATGCACGATAGCAGACGACCACATCTGGACAAATACAGTGACTTACTTTCCCACTCACCAGCTGTAGAAAAGCCGGATTGCAAAGAAGCACAGTAGCAAATGGAATATTTCAATTCTTGGAACAATCTTGGGGACATTTTTCAAGGGACTGGCAAACAATTTCTCAAGGAACATTAACCACTCTCAGAGAAATCTGACTCCTGCCAAAAGCAGAGAGACTGGCCCAGAGAGAAAGATACTGTGTTCCCTCTATGTTTCTTGAGAGATGTCTGGGCTGACAGGGGAACAACCTTCTGCCACAAGTGCAACTGCCCATGTGTGGAGAAGAAGTAGAGATTCTACTCCATTACAAAGTTTCCTGTCTCCAATCTGACTGCTCTGAATCAGCAAATGATTAAGCAAGATGCAAGAAAGCAGCAAATACATCATCATGGGGAAAGAAAAAGAAGAGGAGACTAAATAATTCAAAATTAAGAAGTTAAAAATATTCTCCACAAGAGCATTTTCATGTCTTCAAAACACAGTGGGAGCCTGCAAGAATACAGTTTAATGAAGAAAATAACTAGCATCTATAAAACAGGAGAGTTGGGGAACAATTTATTTAGTTTACAGACCAGTGTGACCAATTAAATGGCTGCTAGCCTTAGACATTAATTCAATCCAAAGTCCTCCCAAAGTCCCCCAAAATCCCCAAAGGGATGATTTTTCCTACTCTGCAAAGGCGTCACAATGTTCAGCTGTACACGTGTGCAGCAGTTTGGGTGTGCAAAGTGCTGTGTGCTGCTGATAACCACCAGTTCCATCATGGAACTTGGGTCTGGTTTGTATCAAAGAACAGATTAGACATACTCACATCATTTATAATCTAGTATGAACACATTAATACCAGGGCTCCACTTCAGCAAGCCACTGGTATACATTTGGAAGAGGAATGTTTAACCCCAACAAACAACAGCAGCAGGTTTCAGTTCCATTCCTTCTCAAAACTTTCCTGATAGACTTTTATTCTAGAATAAAAAACTACTTTTTTTTTCTCCAGCAAAAGTTTTTGTTGGTCCTATGCCATCTGATTCCGTTTTCAACCACTCTAACCGCCAGTATCCCACCAAATATGTAGCTTGTCTCACCAGCATATTAAAATATCTACAAACCCAGCATAAGCCATGCAAACCCAGCCCCTGAGTATGTTCACTGGCCAAGAATCAAGCCAAGGTCTCACATGCTAACCACCAAGAGTACTCACAGCTGTTAACTCACTATCATTATGGTCTGAAAGAGAAATATCATCCATTTGGTTTTCTTCTGGCCAAACACTCAACCAAAAATGGTATTAAAAACTACTGTTCTTGTGAGCACCACTCACTGTGGCATGACAGAAGAATTAAAGACATCCATTTTTTAATTATTTCTAACTTGCAAAGTTATTTGCTTTGGTTTGAAGCTCACTGTGCGTCATTTCAGGCTAAAGGCAAGGCTAGTTTGCTTTCACCTTAAACAAAAGCAGTTCAAGAGCTTTAGGGTAACATTAAGCAGTAGATAGGTGTATTTCTTTTCTATGTGAAAACTAACTCACTACTGAAAAACTTAAGTGGAATTGACAGAAGGCATGGAGAGAAAGTACTTCAAAGCATTCCTCTAGATTTTAAAGAAAGATAGAAAAAATTGAAGCTAAAAACAGACTAATAACATATAGAGAGGAAAATGCAAAGATCAACAGCCAAAGAACAATCTGAAAATATTGAAAACAGACCTTTGTGTTAAAGAAAGGGACAGAACATTACTAAAAGAAATCACTTAATAGTTACTGTTGACTAAAACTTTAAGAGGAAGAAAAAAGTCCTGAAGGGGAGCACACTGAAGTGCTTAAGAACTGCTTTCTTAAGTACTACACTAAGCATGCATACAGCTACTCTTTTTACACACACAGTCACAAATCCATGCTTCCCAGGGTTTCCAAATACATGTAAGCAAACTTTGGAGCCAGCTGATCATGGTCTCAACAGCGTGGAGAGCCCTCCTGTGACGTGCAGTACTGTGGCCTCTGCTCTGATCTCAGGATGCTCTGTATCACCCATGAAATGCCATTTCTCCATATAACCCACATAGTGAACTGAACTACAGGAGGAGCTGCCACCAGGTCCACTGGGACCTCAGTCAGGGATGTGATAAACATCCCATTAAACTCTTAGTGAGGCACAAACAGCAAACATACACTTGCTACGTAAATACAATTAAT